CTCTCTCTCTCTCTCTCTCTCTCTCTCTCTCTCTCTCTCTCTCTCTCTCTCTCTCTCTCTCTCTCTCTCTCTCTCTCTCTCTCTCTCTCTCTCTCTCTCTCTCTCTCTTCCTCTTTCTGTGTATATCTGTGAGCGTGTCTGTCAGTGTGTGTGTGGGTAAAGAAAGGAAAGGAGAGGGCAAAGGAGAGGGCAAAGGAGACAAAAGGAGAGAGAAAATAGGAGAGAGAAAACATGTCTTCTACTACGGTACCGACAGTGACTTCTCATTGGTGCAGGAAAGTGACAAGTGACAAAAATGACAAGACAAACGACACATGTGATGTATGCATATCCCGATCGTCCAGAGCCAGACATTCGGACCAAATCGCGCAGAGGGAAGAGCATCTGGGTTCCCGAGGCAGTGGGCTGGTTTCAGTCATGAGCATCATCACACCCATTCATTCATCATCCATCCAATCCATTCATCCATCTCTATCCATCCATTCTATCCATTCTATCCATTCTCTCCACCATTCCGGTACAATTGCACAATTGCATATTCTTTCTTATATCTTCTTCATGAATTCCACACAACTGGAACTAGTAGTGACTCTAGTCGACTCTACTTTTTATACAAGTATACATACATACACGCCGCGGCCGCGATAGGATCACAACCGTCGGTAGTAGTGGGTGGGTACTGGTTAAGTCACCGTCTGTCTGGTAGTGGCTGGGCTGGCCAATATGACAACCGGACCGGTCGACTGTCTCCCCTCATTTTCATTCTGCTCTCTTCTCTTCGCTCTCTTTTCTTGTCGTTCTCTTCCTTGTCAGTCTCTATATGATAATCAGGAGCGATGAGGGATAGTCATGAGTGTGTATAGGTAGCTGCTTCAATGTGATAATGCACACTCCCGTGTGATAGACTGTTTGTCGCAGGTGTTCGTGGTGTACGACTTGCTTGTTCCAACCCTAGTCCTACATAATACTTCCATGTACTCTGTGTGAGACGAGCGTGGCGTCAGGTCACACCAGATGCATCTCGAACTGTTCTCTCGCCCTCTCCCCCTCTCTCTCTTATCCAGCCACATATAGGACTGGATAGAAGGGAAGACTTGCAGAGGTTTCTCAGTGTTGGAGGATGTCCCACTCCCACCAATGTCAGTGAATAGTAAGTAGTAAGTAGTAGGTATAGCATAGCATAGTACTCTCCAGACTCTCCTCTTCATCACCATATCACCCGTACCCGTACCCGTACCCGTGCCCATGCCCATGCCCTGGCTATCTACTAGGTAAAAGGCCAAGCAAAACAAGAAGCGAATGGACCGACCCCCCGTCCAAGTCTTGTGCTACCTCCTACGTATCTCCCGTCTTCCTTGTAGCCTTTTGGTACTACGCTGCACCTTTATGGACCTCCTCTATCTACCTCTTCTACACTCCACACTCCACACTAAACTACCCGACTACCACTTACCCTCCTATTCCTCCTATTCCTCCTCCTCCTCCTCCTCCTCCTCCTCCTCCTCCTTTTCCTGGTCCTCCTACTACTCCTGCTGCACATGTGAAGATACCAACCGTATACCCGGATCTTCTTCTTCTTCTCCTCCTCCTCCATCGTCGTCACTACTCATACCCCTTCGAAGAAAATAAAATAAAAATTCTCGCCTACACACACCATTGGATCATCCATCCACCCCTGCTCATATCTCGTGCTGATCCCGCAGCTGGACCCGGCTTTTCGGTTCCCATCGATCTGGGACGTCGTCCTTTGGGCGGTGGTGATATGGTCCTGGTGGTGGCTTGACCGCCCTGGGTCGTACTACTGCTCCCACACCGACGTCTCGTGGGGGCCGGCGACGGCTTTTTTTTGCTTGCTTACTTGCTTACTTCACACACACCATACGAATCGAACACATTGTCGATAGAGAGGACTTTTTTTTTTCTCTTTCGACCTTGCTTGCTTGTTGGTGCTGGTGCTGCACCTGCTGCAAACATGCCTCTCTCTGATCAAATTCCGATTGTAGGCGTTTTCTCTCTTTTGTTTTACATTGTCCCTTCTCAAGCCATGTTTGAAGATTTTATATCGCATGCTGAGACACAATAAAGGATGACCATTATTCTACATATTCGGGCGAACGCGGCCATGGAGAAGAAAGTCGCAGCTATACGTCGTTAGTTTCTCATCATGTGCAGAAAAAAAATGTCGCCCTTTTTTTTGCTGCAGCACGATATGGGGAGTTTCGCTGAGGATGGTTTTAGCGGCCGGACGTTGGCTACCACTACGACCATGTATCGACACGAAAATGGGAGAACGTATCATGCCTATCGTAAGTCTTGAGCAAGAGCTGCGGCGTATATACCGACATATGGTATATTCTTTTTTCTTTCCGAGTCAACCGAGGTACTAAGAAGCATGACTAGGGGATGGCGAATATTGGCAACCGTAAGCACAAGACAATCACCGATTCCGCACCGTCGACCACGATGACCGCTACAGGGACTGAGACAATATACTACCCAGCAATGACGAGAAGCAAAACAATCACGAAGCAATAGTGTATGTAATACAACTATTCCATCAGCATCATCAGCATCACCACCATCATCATCCCACCCCCCCTATTTCCTCTCCAAACGATGCACTAACGCACATATTGTTGTTGTTATCAAAGACACCACCTCTGCATCCTCACCCTCCGCGACCAACTCTTCCTCGCCCCCGTCACCAATCCCACACGAATCCTCGACATCGGCACCGGCACCGGAATCTGGGCCACAGACATTGCAGACCGCTTCCCCTCGGCCGAAGTCATTGGAACCGATCTCTCGCCCGTGCAACCGGGCATGCAACCCGACAACTGCCACTTTGAAATCGACGACTGCATGGCCGAGTGGGTCTATCCCGAATCCCATTTCGACTTTATTCATATCCGAGGCCTGTTTGGGAGTATCTCGGACTGGCCGACTTTGTATCAACAGTGTTATTCGCACTTGCAACCGGGGGGTTGGATTGAACAGGTGGAATGGAGTATTCAGAATCGGTCGGCGGATGGGAGTTTGAGGCCGAATTCTACTTTGGCAAAATGGTGAGTTTTTTCTTTTCTTTTTTTAAAATTGTTACTTTTTCCTTTTTTTGCTCGCTCTTTGACATCCTGCCGGATGAACTGATCCCCTTTGCGACCCTGCGATATGAGAGGCGTGCAAATGGCTGTAGGCTGACCTGTGATGCATGTAGGAGTATGTATGGAATCGAATGTGGCCGAAGACTCAAAAAGACGTTTAAGATTGCCGAGGAAATGGCTGGAATGATCAGCTCTGCTGGATTCGTCGATGTGGTCGAGAAGCGCTTCAAATGGCCCATTGGACCATGGAGTTCCGATCCTCGATTAAAGGAAATCGGGAGATGGAATCTGTTGAACTGGGAGGAAGGAATGGAAGGCTGGGTGATTGCTCCTTATACCAGAGTGCTGGGTGTGAGTGAATTTTTCTTTTTCATTTCTCATTTCCTTGGATTGACTCTCACATGGGCATCAAGCTAACAGAAGGGGTGTGTATGTGCAGTGGTCTGCTGCGGATGTCCAGGAATGGCTGGCGGAGATTCGAAAGGCTTTGAGAGACCGGAAGAAACATGTATACCATGAAGTGTAAGTTGAGTCCCTCTCTCTCTCTCTCTGTCTGTCTCCTCTCTGCAATGGGCAGTCGTCACTGACAATGATCCTGTCTCCATAGACGGCTGGTGTATGCCCGGAAACCCTTCGATCATGAGATGCGCAAACCAGAAGAAGCCACAAGTCATGAACCAAGCAATAATGGGAGTTGCTCAGTGGAACATCGAGAAGAAGCCCAGCAACCAGTCGCCCAAACAAATCCAGATGAAAAAGAAACGCAACTACCACTGCCCGAGACGAGTGGAGAAGAAGTGCAAACACCACTCGTCGAAACCAGTCAACTAGAAGAAGCTCCAATACCACTCGACCAGGCGAGTCGAGAAGAAGCTCCAACGCCACTCGCCCGAGAGAATCCGATCTGCAACAACAGCGAACGCGGTACCTCTGACGAAAAGCAGGTCCCAGACAGTGCTGCAGCAGCAGCAGCAGCAGCAGCTACGAGCGACAAAGTTGTCGTTGTCGTCGATGAAGCATCTATACGACAATCTCTCGAGAGCGTAGATATCAGAGAAGAGTGAGACTTGGGGGGGTCGTATACGATGTCTGTCTCAACGACCTGACATTTCATTTCATTTCATATTTGTAACGAGGAAAAGGGAAATTCTTAGGGGCCCACGCAATATTCCTCTGGATACATGTATACCACAAATGTACGATTGATGATATCTTTATATATATCGGAGAAGCAACGAATGCCGACTGAAAAAAAAAAAAAAAAAAAAAAAAAAAAAAAAAAAAATCATGCGCCACACAAGAAGAAGAACGAAAAAGAGTCCATTCCGAATCCCAATTCTCCGGAAAATGCAACTATCCCCCACGCCGCCCTGCATCTGCACCTGCACATCCACTTGCATTTGGGAAAGGGAAAAAACGACCCAACGAGAAACATGAATATACCAGAACTTTGGTAACGTATGTAGCCTGCATGCAGAGAGATATATATATTGCAAGCAGGGAGGTAACATGTTTCATCTAATCCATGTTGTATAAATAAACTCCTCCTCCTCATCCTCCTCCTCCTCCTACTATATAGTAAATACTGTATATAGTATGTACACAATTGCTGTTGAAGAGCAAAAATGTATTCGAGAGACTGAGATTGTGAATATTGACAAGTGCATATAGTACCTTTGATTCATTGCTTGTTACCTAGCCGAACAAGTAAAAGGATTCAGGCAAGAAGTTAGGTATAGATAAAAGACCGTTGCTACAGGACCGATCGACTTCCCATTACAGAGACTCCAACGCTAATGCAAAGAAAATATCCATAACATGATGCATTGATAGGACACTCAGGTGTTTCTTCAGTCAATCAATCAAGCATCGCCAACACTCCCCGACTCACTCATCATCTCCCCCACCACCTCCCCTAACACAAACCTCAGCTTCTCCCCCATCCAAGCTCGCAAAGAAGTAGCCTACACCCCACAAACTTGACATCTCTTCTCCTGCTCCTCCACCCTCTTGTGCCGATGCTTGAAATCCCCATGATAGCCTCCATGTTCCTCGTGGGAATCCAAATGACTCTGGCCATCCAACCGCTCCCCCTCAGCGGGCAGAGGGCCCAAGAACTGCACATGCGAATTCTCACTAGCATGTGCATGTTGCTTCAACAGCGCAGTCACCTTCTCCACCTCCTTCTCAAGTCCGAGAAACCCTCTCAGAAACCCTCCCACATCTGTATTCTCATTGTTACCCCTCAGAGCTCGTGCGGCTCGAGGGTCAGAAGTGTAGATGTTGACATCCGCGCCGGAATGACCATGGGTGGACCAGCCGGTTTGTGCGCGCCGGGAGACCATGTCGGCGAACAGGTAGGATGCCGGACTTGATTCATCGAGGAGGGAGTCGAGTTCTGATGGAGACGCGTCGTGGATCCCGAGGTTAGATTGAAGGAGCGAGGTGAGATATTCGCGGTCTTCTGCAGTGGTTGAGACAGATGCCGAGTTACCGTTGTCACTTGGTGGAGAAGAAGAAGAGGAGGAGGAGGAGGAGGAGGAGGGAGAATGGAAGTGCGAGTACCATTCTCGTGAAGTGTGACTTGCGGAGTGGGAGGCATTGGCCAAGACGGCAGGGTACCACAGATACTCGGGATATGTGGAATGCAGTTGTCGGGCGGCGGCGAGACCTCCAGTTTCGTGATCGGATGTGCTCACCATGAGGGTAGGGACATCGGAGTTGTCAATAAAGTCGAGGACGGCTTGGATAGTTCTGTCGTAGGCGAGTACTTCGTGGACTTGTGCAGCTGGATCGTTCCCGTGGCCGGCGTGATCGATTCGGGAACCTTCAATCATGATGAAGAAGCCTTTGTCCGAGTGTTTGGTCGCTGCAGAAAGGATTTGGAGAGCAGTTCTTGCTGTCTCCTCGAGACTTGGGTATGTCTCGTTTTGGTGTCGGCGATCAATTTCGTAAGGGATGTCAGTTGGCGCGAGGAGGCCGAGTAGAGGCAAGAGTTGCTTTGCCTTCTCGGTCGTATCATCACCACGGGAAGGTGATAATAACCCATCAAACTCCTTTCTCGAATCAATGTACTTCCATCCCTCTTCCTTCGCCCACTCCACAGCGTCGATTGCATCGTCTCGGCAGCTCCCTTCGGTCGTATTGGGCAAGAAATGACATCTCCCGCCTCCCATCATCAAATCCACCATCCTCCCCAGGGGATGCGTCTTCCCCAACATCTGGAGTGCAATCTCATCCTCCATTTCCCTTCTCCTCACATGACTCGCAAACACGGCGGGCGTCGCATCTGTAATCCTCGTCGTGACCACCAGGCCAGTCATGTAGCCTAACCTCTTCGCCGCCTCCATGACAGAGCCACAAGGTTCATAATCCGGCAACACAGAAATGGCGCCATTGTAACTCTTCTCTCCGCATGAGAAGGCCGTCGCACCAGCCGCAGAGTCGGTGACTAGAGAACTCGAACTTCTCGTGCGACTCTGTCCGATCAGGAGATCATCCAGCACCAATGTTGAGTTCCAGCCGAGTCCGCCTGTATACTGTCTCCAACTTCTCGTCAAAGCCAGAGATGTCGGTCCCATTCCATCCGAGACCATGAAAATGAGATTCTTCTTTCCTCCCCCTGCTCCGCCTTTGCCCGCATGTCTGGTATCGGTGTTGTGTTGCCATACTACTGCCAAGATAATCACCACAGTGGTGGCGATGACGGCCCAAACGAAGAGTCCTATTTCTCGCCAGCGTTTCCATCTGCTGTCAGACTCGGATTTGCCCGTTCTCTGACCGGTGAGGAGCGCGTCTTCTTCTTCTATGCCTCGTTCCGACGAGTTTTGGGATGTGGGACGCGCGAGGACGGGAGACGCCATTTCCTTCTTCTTCTTCTTCTTCTTCTTCCTCTTCTTATCCTTCTTCTCCTCTTTCTCGTTCTGTTACTCTCCCTGCACTCCGCTCAACGAAGCGCCTTCACGCGACGCGGAGTCAGATGGCAGTTCGGTGCTCCTGGGGGCAGTGGTGCGGAATCAATCAGGTTGTTTGGAGATGTGTGAGAAGCAAGATGGTTGATGCTGGACGCTGGAGTCAATAGGTATGACAACACGAAGGGGACGATGTATATGAATGACGCGATAGCAAGAGAGAGAGGGAGGGAGTGTGTAGGTATGCGTCAGAGAGAGACAGAGACAGAGAGAGAAAGAGAAAACAGAAAGATGTACAGGCTGGAATGCTGAAGGACGAGCTGGCGGTATGGCAGCTGATCGAGGGTCTGCCCTAGCGTCGTGTCACATGAAAGGCAACCGCATACTACCTCCTTAGCTAAGCTCTGTTTGTACCTGTACCTGTACCTCAGAGTCAGGTATACCTCAGAGGAGGTATGTATCTCCTACCTCCTAGGAGGGTCGTGAGTCAAGAGTCAAGAGTCACCACACCTCATGGACAAGTACCTAAGCCCACAGTTCTATTTTCACTGCCGACTTCATGCGCAGACACTATCAAACTGGTGTCGAATCAAAATCTATTCCAGACATGCAAGAAAGCCATAGCATACATGCATGCATGTGACTCTCGCTGCCTCGTACTAATTATTACAGGTGGTTTTCTCTGTCGTGGATGTCGTGATCCCTCCCCCATTTCCGTCTCCGTTGCACCATCCAATGCAGCCGAGTGGCACTAACCAAACCCTACCTAGGTGCGCCTATGCAGCTGCCCGTTCGTACTCCATCGCAGCATCCCAATGTTTGCTTCTTTCCAAAGCAAGATGGAAGAAGAAGACGAAGGATGAAGAAACCTCATTCAGGGAGCTCGTCACCGCCCTGTGCTCCTGCTCCGCCCCTCGTACCGATACTCCTCCTCCCTCCCCTTCTCCTTTCTATGCTCCGACCACTTGTTCTCAGCAGCGTTCGCGACCAGTCCGCCCACCACAGCTCCCAGGATGATATCACGTTGGCGATGCTGTTTACCAAACTGTCTGCCAGCGAGACCTCCTGCGAGGGCACCCGCCAGTCCGACTCCGAGACCTCTCTGTGACGTATCGAATTGGGATGTGATCTTCTGCTTAATACCCTCTCCTCCTGCGCCTGCTTCTCGGCCACCGGAGCGCGACCGACTGTCTCGGCTTCGAGACCGCGAGCGGGAATCATCGTAATCGTCACGGTCGCGTCGACTTCTACGACTGACTTGAGAACGGTCCAGATATGGATCCGAACGACGTGCTATCGCTCCAGCTCCGCCAGCATACGGGCCATCGTTGTACGATGATCGGTAGCTCTCTCTACGCTCCGTGGCATATGGGCGGTTGGCAGGCTATGATTTCAGGTCAGCGCATGCTTATACTCCACCCCATGGGATATGATCGGTGACGAACAACAAGTGGCCCTGCACTTACGGGTCCTCGATACCTCTCGTGCACTTCGTAATAGTCGCCATCGTCTCGGTCGCGGTCGCTGTACCCTCTTGCACCTCCTCGGTCTCTGCGGCCGGAACGCTCATCATAGTCGCTGTCGTCATCGTCATCGTAGCGATGTCTTGGAGGCGGCTGGGCTGAGCGTGCGCGAGGCTCGCCTGGGTATTGGGTGTTGCCCCGGTAGTCGTCGTTGTATCCGGACGCCATTGCGCTGTCTCTCCTAGAGCCAGTCGTTGACGGCTGCTTACTCGACTTCTTCTCGGACTTGTCGACGTGCTTCTTCGAATCGCCGTCGTACTTTGCGAGAGTCCAAAGATCTTTTTCGGGCAAGACCGAAGCGGGATTGCGTGGTGGGTCGTCCTTTTCGGCTTCGTATGCGCGCAAGACTTCGTCGTTGTCTTCGTTGAGTCTCTTGACGAGGGCGGTAGAGTTGGCGTGGTCGTCTGTGAAGAAGTCGGTGCGCGCGGGAAAGAGGAGATTGGCTTGCTTGCGTCGCGACGCCGGAAGGGTAGCGACTTGGGTTTTTGGTGCTGCGGTGTTGCCTCGCCGTTCTGCGCTGACGGGATCAGGATAATAATTTGATGGCGGCGGCGGCGGCGGGCGGCTCTGGGCAGTGCGACCTGCACCACGATCGTAGTCGGGTGACCTCAGCCGAGAAGGGCGGCCTTTCGATGCTGCGGACTGACGCTCTTTGGGCTCTCTCGGGTCTTGCGAGCTTGCAGACGACGCAGAGGCGTGCTTACTTCTCGCAGCCTCGCTCTTTGCGCGCTGCTGCTGCTGCTCTCGTGCGACTGCTGGTAAGGGCCGATATACCGATTCGACTTTCTTCCCGTTGATGAATTTGCGACTGCGTTCCCAGCCCGAATCAAAATACTTGTCCGTAGCCCAGCCTACCAGCTCGCCCGCATTCTCGACGACACCCTCCATATCAGGTGGCTCCCCTCCTAGGCTGCTACCGACCTATCTACCTCCCTCCTACCCGTAACCCGCCCGTACTACGAGCCGGATGGTGGCGGGGAGGGTGGAAATGACGTGGTGCTGCAGATTAGTTGCGCCCGACGAGGCAAAGGATGGCCCGACACAAGTGCCCCACGTGATGGGAGGTCGGCAGTGCAATGTGACTCTGTGATCCGGGGATGCTTGGTGTTATGCAACTCTCGCCCACTTTCGCCAACCCTCCCGGCTTCTCTTACAGTAGTGAAAGGTGATACCTCCTAGTGTCTCACTCGAACTTTTTTTTGTGCCTCTCACTCTCTCTCGCTTTCTCTCGTGTTTGCAGTTGCAGGCTGCAGCCCTCCTGGCGTAGATGTCTGGGGAGGTTGGTGCGCAGTCTGATTCTGCGCCTCTGTATCCGGTGGCGATGGATCTGCTTATGTCGCTGGCGATGATGGGGAGGGGGAGGTGGAGGAGGTCCTAGGGAGAGGAGATGTGTGTTGTGTCGCTGCGTGAAGAAGTGATGAAGAGGGACGAGAGCGTGTCGCGGAGGGTTTGTCTGTTGAGTCTGTCGGTGTGTGTGTGTGTGTGCCGTCGTCGTGGGGGGGGCCACGCGACAACTGAGCGAGCGAGCGACACTCGGACGATGACTGCTGCGCCTTTTCTGTGTTGACGTTGTGGTTGTGGTTGTTCGGTGGTAGTTTGGTCTGGAACTCGGAGTCAGGTGAGATATGCTCGTTGTCGAAGATGAGTTTGCTCGTGTCTGCTCCGTCCGCTTCACTCACCGCCTGACGCGCTCGAGAGAGAAAGCTAGATAGAACGACGTAGTAGTCCCATTCACCCCCCAGTGAGATAGACTGCACGATGTCGCACTTTGCACTTACTTTATTCATATAGCGAGCGAGGCTAATTCCATCTTGCTGTTATCATCACCAAGAGACAGACACTTTTTGTTTCCTTTTAATTCCTCTCCCCGTCTCCCACCACTCTCTCTCTCTCTCTCCCCTCCATCTCCATCTCCCTCGGCGTGCTGTGCCTCCACGCACGCGTTTGCGGCTGCTGATGAGCTGGCTCCTATCGCGCTACTATTTGCCGGAAGCTGACGTCGCCATGCAGCCGCTATAGCAGCGATTGGACTGCTTCGTACAGTATGCACCCACCAGCCCAGAATCACATTATACTAGTATGCAGGTAAGCTTCAGATCTACAGCGACGGTGAGATGCCGCTTGCGCAGGCCCTTCATTTCGGTGGGCAATCCGGAAGGGAATGTTCGTTTTCACTTGCCACTCACCCTCACCCTCACCCTCACACTCCACTTCACTTCAGATGTGTGGATACATGTCGGTGGCGGTGATGTGTGTCTACATGTGAATACGACCGCGGCAACTGCGATTGGGAGCGGAAGCGAAAGCGTGGGAGCACACTACGACTTCGATCTACTACTTCTGCCTTGATTCGATCTGGGACAGGTTGGAAAGGACAGAAAAGAATAAAAAAGGAGGAATAAAAAAAATGAATAAAAGACATTTCGATCTGGTAGCCAGGGATGCGCTGTCCATGAACACTGGGGAAAGCTGTGCGACGTGGGACGGAAGCCTGGTTTTTCACTTTGCAGACGCAGGTACGGCAGGGCAGCTGCAGCACAATCGTTCTACTATAGCCAGGATTCACTTGCTATCAATGTCATCCAGAGTGTACGTTGTTGTACCTACAGTAAGTAGGTTCTGGACCATTACCTTCAACCACCACGCGAACATGTCCGATCCATATAGTAAGCTAGGCAATCAATAGTTCGTCTGCTGGACAATCTCCGGCGAGGTCAAAAATCCGCATCGTTCTCGCAGCTTTTGTCCTCTCAGAGCTTCCCGCGCAGAATCACTGCCATTCACACCCGCATAGCCCTCGTGTGGTCCTCCAATGATCTGGATTCCATAGTTCGCGTCGTCAAAGTCTGCCCTGTGCCACCCTTGCAGCGTTGTCCCATTGATCGAGGGACGTCCCCACGCCGCAAACGATGTCCACGATTTGCTTTGTCGCTCCATCAACGCGTAGTCTTCGGATTGGGGCTCAAATGGAAAGTCGTATATGTCGTAGTGGCTCAGATTGCCGAACATGTACGCGAACTCACTCGTGTGGGGAACACCATACCCGTACTGTGAATAGTTCGTCTCGAGGATGGGTGTGACGAAGGTTTGGTTTTGGTCATAGAGATATACATCATTGCCGGCTGCGGCCAACGCTCTGCCGAAGTAGATGGGCTGGCATGTCATGATGATGTCCCTCAGAATCCTGCCCGCACGTCGGACCTCTTTGGCCAGAGCGACAGTGCCGTTGGGAAAGTATGCGGGCTCGAATTCCGACTCGGGATACAGGTCTAATAGTGTCTCCAGATGGGAAGGGGAAAAGCCAGGGAGATAGTCTGCAAAGTATGCATGTGTGGCTGAGGCGTTGGCGACACTGGGGTCAATGAAGTATGTGGTGTCGTCCTCGCACCAGCCGATCATAGTGGTCGTATTGTAGAATTTCCCGGAAGCGATCAGCTCTGATGGCGCAGCAGGTAGAAAGTCGCCGTCCACCACAGGCAGCCAGATGTCTCCCACATTCAGATTCGTAGCGGTCAGATTTTGCGCAGCGAATAGATCTGTCATACTGAGGTTGCGCAGACACATGACAGTATCGTCCGAATCCAGGCTTGTTGCGTTGCAGCCCACAAAATCTGCCACGTCCTGCATTGCGTTGCGGGTGAAATTGCCAGTGATACCCCCTTCGAGAATCTGGCTTTGGCCAATGGCTTTGTGAAATATTTGGGGTCTGCTGGCACCGTACGCCATCATTTGCATGCCCACGGCAAGTCCACCAGAGCTCTGTCCGTGGATAAGTACAATGTCAGGGTTGCCTCCGAAATGGCGAATGTTATCGTGCACCCACTCCAGGGCGAGTCGTTGATCTCGCAAGCCTGCGTTCTCGGACCCGTCCCCTTTCAGGGCGGCAGACTGTGCAAAACCGAAAATTCCCAAACGATAGTTGATCTGAACTGATATGACGGGAGAGCCGTTGTCGATAGACAGCAAGATCATGCCTCCTGGCTGCGAGACTGGATCATCCTTGGAGGCGGTTTTGAAGCCACCTAGAGACAGCATCAGCTCGGACTTCATCAGCACCACATGCATGACGGATGGTCACTTCTCTGTACCTCCATGTATATACACCATTACGGGCAAGTTGTCTCCAGCGGTGGTACCATTGGGTCGGAACACATTCAATCGCAAGCAGTCTTCCGATGTCGCTGTAGCCCAATGGCAGTCAGTCAGTGTATAACATGAGTTTCTGAGATGGCCTGTAAGGGCCAATACTCAAAAGATGACTTCTCGGGGTGGTGGTGGTGGACCTACCAGTAATATTGCCCAGATATAAGGGCAAACTGTTGGTCCCCAGGAGCTGCGGACATGCTGGGCCAGGGCTGGTAGCATCGAGAAGACCTGAGGGCACAAATGGTATCGGAGGCTTGAAACGATTCTTTCCACTGGTGTCTTGTGCGTACTGTACACCAAGGAAGGCTTCTACGTGGCTCTTGTAAGTTCCATGATACGTCGCCGTGTCGGTAATTGCAGTGGGAGCACAGGAAGAAGCGTGGGCGGCGACGCAGAGCGTGAGCGTGATTACAGCTGCAAGCCTAAGAAGCATCTTGTTCTTGAAACGGGCTCACTCCCCTCTCACTACATTAGGTAGATATGTCCTTTCGTGTATCGAAGGAAGGGCAACTGGACCGACATCGTTTTTTAATCGGCCGGCATTTGTGTGTGCTATCTGTTCTCCCTACACCGTTACACCAAATCCTGGCTCCTCTAGGTGGTATGTGCCCGCTGCGATAAGATAGATCATCGTGACGATGTCGATGACAAATAGGCAATTTCAAAATGTGCACTGCTTGAGCATTTTCTACATAATGATTATGTAGTCCGGTTTATTGATTAATTGATTGATACCAGATTGATAGATAGGTACCTGATATATTGGATCCATTCCATAGAGTAGCACGTGACTGGTTCCTGTCCTATAATTTAGTTCCGCCGCAGTGCGCATCGCGAAACATCATCTTCTCTTACCATACCTACCTTGCTTGTATCCACAACTTGTACTGCTAGCATTTTTCTATACCTATTAGGCGTGGAGTATGCAGTTCAACCCTAACCCTAACCCTAAGTTCACTATACGTTTTCTTGTCTCCAGGATATATTTGGGCACAGTCTAAGAAACAATATATCTAATAGGCCTGCCTACGATGATAATAAAATAATACCCAAATTCATAGATATATATATATATCCTATTGCTATCTCTATCTCTATCTCCAATTCTATCTCTCTACCTCTATCTTGTAGTATCTCTCTAGGTCTCTCTATCTCCTAATTGTCTAGGTATCTCTTCTCTATCTCTTCGTTCCTATTGTTGTTGTAATGCTTACCTAGGGAGGCTATACTATAGTGGTTTGTCTTGTAGACAGGCAGACGGTAAGCTTTAATAAAGTATATTAGGATTCATCAAGATAGCTAATTTTCTTTTCGCCTGTTAAGACGACGGTTGCTATATACTAATTAGTAGCTAGTAGTATAGTGTCTACTATATTTTGTATATAACTAGTAGTAGTCTCTAGCCTATAATCTATTTGGTAATTTACCTAGTAGTATATAGTTTCCCTAGTAGTATATAGTTTACTTAGTAATATATAGTTTACACAGTAGTATATGGTTTGTATAGTAGTATATAGTTTGTGTAGTAGTAAATATGTTCTTTGATAATATAATATCTAAGGGTCTGTTTTAAAGTATAACCTCTTTAGTAGTATAGTTTATATAATAACATATACTTTACGTAGTGCCATACGATTTCTGTAAAACCTATAAGGTTTATACTAATAGCTTATAGTATTATTGTTCCTATACTAGCCCCTAGTTTACTTAGGAGTATACAGTTTATATAGTTTACAAATTATCGTTTACTTAGTAGTCATTTTTGGTATTATAATCTACTTAGTAGTATATCTCTAGATACCTAAAAAGACCTAGTATATTAAGTATACTCTGAGTTCTCTAGAATAAATATTACTATATTGTTAGAAAGCTTTAATCTTTAGAGACCAAACGTAGTCTCTAGAGGCTTTTAATAGAACAGATCCATAGACAGTGATAGGTATAGGTTAATAGGTCTAAGTATTAACCGCTAGTAATAGAGTTCAGAAAGCTAAAGAAGTTTCTAGAAAGCTTGTATTTTAATATTTCTTCGCTAAATACTTTATAGTAAAGTAATACTACCTATAGACTAGGTTCCTAAATATTAGAAGTACAATATCCTAGTATAGGGGGGTATAGAAACGGTAATAATATTAACCGTTCTATAATATTGTAAAGCATTTCAGGATTCTGTAGCCTAGTAGAAGAAAATTTTATAGGTCTATATACCAATATATAAATCCAATATTCGAGTAACCTACAATATACTAAGGTATTCAACCTTAGTAGCGCGCTATATCTATATCTATATATATCTCTATCTATTCAATACCTAGGTATCTCTATCTCTATTCCTATTTCTTTATTGCCTAGGTAGGTATCTATATCTCTATCTCTATCTCTATTTTGTATGCGTTCTTCTAAAAGTAGGTAGGTAGGCATTCTGCTATTTAGAAGGGTTACTTCTGCCGTATCCGGTTCTATGTTATATATAAAAGAAGAAGTAGGATATCTTTAAGGAAGAGAAGCTTTGCGTTTAAATATCTAGAAGGGCTTTAGGATACGTAAGTATCTAACTGAAAAGAGCCTCTAGAAGACGGTAATAATACCTCTTAGTATCTTAAGCCCTAGCTGAAATATAAGCTTATATATATAGGACGGCTTTCTACTTTCTCTAAGAGCTCTAGCTACTATAAGCTTAGCTATAGAGGACAGCCTCTTCTTTAAATCCTTAGTAAGTAGACAGCTAAAAAGGCGGAGAATATACTAGTAGAGTTATTCCCCCCTAGGGGATCTGTTATTAACCAACCCTATAGCGACTAATCTAGAAGTAGGACGGAGCTAATTGCAGGCTAGGAAAAGAGATAGACCGAGTAGAGGTAATAATAATAAAGAGTACACTTATAGCTCTTAGTTATATACTATGCTCTTCGACTAGCTACCTTCCTCGACGCTCTTCTTCGATCTTTTATAATAGTAGTATATCTATACCCGAGGTTGAAGCTATTCCTATATAACTAGGCCGATACAACGACAGGAACGTAGCTAGATAGGATCTATACTACGAATGTAGGAGATATAAAAGCCCGGCTAGGTTAAATCCTAAGATAGGACGTCGTCGATTAGCTAGGCCGGACGTCGTTAGATAGAACGGAGGGTACTCTATTAGAGCGCCTACGTAGTAAGGAGGATACCTAACTACCGGAAGAGAGATTATATAATATCCTTAGTAGATTTAAGGACTATCTAGAGGGCGCGTAGAATATAATCGCTTATCTATTTTAGGTTACGCTATTTGAACTTCGGCTAGATATAGTCCCCGATAGTAGGCGACAGAGGCTTCTAGAACTACTTGCGACTTTAGATAATACTAAGATCTTATAACTAAACCTAACACTAGGGCTATCGACGATATCTTCGAAGCTCGGGAGCTTATAGATTATCGATACTACCTAGGGCAAAGACCAGTAGGATAAGTTATAGCCTAAAATATATATAATAGTAGCTTCTCTAAGGGCTATATCGAAACGACTTTTATATACTATTATAGCAAACTGCAAGTAAGGCTTCACGATTGAAGCAGTATAGAATATATAGTTAAAGATACGCGATAATAGACTCGACCTAGAGCACCGTATATATGTAGATAATCGAGCTTCGTCGCTATATTAAATATATATAGTAGCTAGAGAGTACTCTATCGGATAGTAGAGACATTTATTCCTAAGCTATAGGAGGACAAGCTAATACTATAAGTAGTAGGTAACTAGGTAGCTTTAGCGAGAGGGCGTAGTAAGGCCGGTAGTAGAGGAGGGGTCGATCGGCAGAAGCGGAAGAGGGCAGATAATTTAAAGGTAGGGAGAATTAGAGAGGAGGAGGAGAGTAAAGATAATAGGGATATTAACGGCAAGGAGGGAGGGGAGCTAGCGGGCAGCTAGCATTTACGTTCGTATTCTAATCGGTATTCCTAGTCGTATTCCTACTTAAGATCCTATTTATAGGGACTAGACAACAACAGTACGGATAACGAGTAATTTACGATACTCTCCTAGCTAGGGAAAGAGTAAGGATACGATACTTCTAGGAAAATAGCGATAGTAAACTAAAGGACCCCGAGGCTTTTATATCGTAACTCGATATAGTATTCGGGGATAGTAACGAGAAGGCTAAGGCCTTAGAACAGCTTTCCTATTTAAAATACTTATAGAGCTAACCTTAGTACGAATATTAGCTTAATTTCGATAGACTCCTACTTATAGTAGGTAGGGAAAACTTCTCTTATAAGGCAAAGATTAGGTATTTAAAAAATACCTTTTCTAACCTAGCTAAATTATATATAGCTACTATACCTAAGTATATAGACTACTATAAGAACTCCGAGGAGGTCGAAAGAATTATAACTAATCTAGAAGAAACCAACTAGTTTAAGATCTTAAATAGGAAGTAGAAGGAAAGAAATAAGGACTCCGCCTTAAATATCCTAGCCTCTAACCGATCCTATACTATACCTTCGAACAAGGTCGATATAGATAGCGATACTATTATAACTTCGACTTAGTCTAACGGACTCTAGCCAAAAATACCTATAGAATATCGAGATAATAATAGAGGAAAACAAAGAGCGAAGTAGGTAGATATAGCCGAGAGAGAGACTCTATTTCTAGTATAGAGCGAGTAGATACTATATTCGGGATTGCCTATATATACCTACGGTCCTATTAACGAGAGTAAACGTAGTAATAGTAGAAGCCGTACTTAAAGAGCCGGAGGATAAGGTAAAAGAGTAGCTCCCTCTTAAAGTTAGGAGGTAGGAGCTAAGAAAGTACTAGTAGAAGGGTAGCCCGAAGCTATACACCGATATAGTCCTTAAGAAAAACTTCGGTACCTATACTCTTATCGACGAAGGATATTAGACCTTATAGAAGGTCTCGGGTCACTATACGTTAGTAACAAGGAGAGGAAAGTTAAAGGAGCCTTTAAAGAAATAAAGAACTTAAAGGTAACTAGAGTTATTGTATTCTAGATAGAAATAGATAGATACCCCTAGAATATCTATATATATATAGTACTAGATCTAGACTTCCTACTAATACTTAGGAACCTATAGAAAAGATAAAATAAGGTTAGGACTACGCTAGAAAAGTATTAGTTCTATTACAGAAACGTAGGCCGATAGTTTAATAAGGGACGCCGGTATCTAGAAGAAGTAACTATTATTAGAGAATTCTCGATAGTAGCTACTATCTTTCCTAAGGATATTAAAAAGGTATTAAAGGACAAAGATCCTTCTATAATAGAGGAATTAAGGAAGACTATTTACTCTAAGCTTTATAATATACTTCCGTTATTTTTCGAATAGGAAGTAGACAAATTAGCTCTATACCGAGAAGGGATTAACTATATAATCGAGCTCTAGTTAAATCCCGATAGGACCCTACGAGATTTACTATAGGCCCCGATATATAGAATATCTAAGGACGAACTTCT